GTGACAGGATGAGGCACTGAATGCCATGAAACCTCGTTGCCAGTTCTGCGGTGCCACAGTGTTTCGGAGAGACGCTGACGTGCAGGCATCATCCCTTCTGCCGCGGTGGTCGGCCCTGGCAGGGCTGTGTGATTCATTGGCACACCTATTAATTGGGACGCCCACGCGGCTCACAGATGTCAGTGGCTTTTGCAAAGTGATCCTAGTCGTCTTTGGAGAGTCTCAGATGGCAGAGGTTTGGTTTTGAACAGGGACCGTGCTGTAGCAAAAACACGATGACTACTGCTGAAGCTTCAGATCAGATTTACTGAGTTTCTTCAGAAAAATGAGATGTTTCCATATACAGTCTCGTGAACACATACAGGCTCTAGTGTGCAAGATTTCCTCTCCTGGGCAGAAACCTTTCTGTCTCTTAAGTTTGCTGCCTCTCTTCTAACCAAATGTTGTATTGGGCCATCCTGAGCCAAATCCTATGACAAGTCCCAGAAAGGGTCTTGCTCTGAGTAGTATCTCTCTATCAGTCAGGCTCCTAATGAGTACAGGTGTCATTCTTCAGTGTCGTAGAGATCTACACTTTTTAAAGTATTTTTGAAAAGCTCTGTTTGCAAAAAAGACATTTTAATTCATCTAGGTGACAGGTTAGGTGAGGGAGAAATTGCTCTAGCAAATTTTTTTCTTCCTTTCATCTCACTTACTTGTCTAAAACATTCCTACACCCTTCCTTGACATCTACCAGTTAACGCTAACTATTCAGAGAAAAACGAAATTTTTTACAGTCTATTCTTAGTGTTCACTATGAACCATAGCTCAGATGAAAACTGGGATCTGAGCAGCATTTAATTAAATGTCTTAGCCAGCAATGGGATCATTTGAGAGTTCAAATGCAGCCATTTAACTTCTGCATTTATCAGAAAAAGGTACTTTTAAATTTACTTAAAAGACATCTCAGAATCCTGAAGCAGCTTAAGTGCAGGCTTTGTACTGACAATTAAATGCAATGTGAAAAGGAACAATCTAAGAAATGTAAATTGTACAGCATTTGAAAACAAAACAAAACAGAACGCCAACAAACTCCTGAGTCCTGAATTGTTGCATCCAATCCAAAGTCTGATGGAAAAAAGCACCTGAGCGCTCTGGTTTGTGTCCTTAACAGGTAAACAGCAAAGATTATGAGCAACCAAGACCCCATCATTTGCTGAAAGCTTCTTTTCATATGTATATCAAATGGTGCTAATTCTTAACACTATTAAAAATACATTGAGGATTTATTTTTGCACGTTTGACAATTTGTGTGTAGAGATACCGTACAGATGTTTAAAAAAAACCCAAACAAAACAGACATCATCTGAAAAAGCTCTTTGTTTCAAATGGAAACAAATAGGAGAGATGAACGATTCGTGAGATTTATAATGCACTTATGTGACTTAGGTTTGTTATTTGTGTTTAATTTTCTGATTGTGGTTTTTTTTTTTTTCCAAATGAAATGGCATAATTTTAAGTGGAGATGCTGCTGGTAAGCTGAACTCACATCTCTTCTTCTGAATGGGAGCTGTGCAGTTCACAACTGGGAGACCCTCCGCTGGTTTGTGGTTGCTCAGCGCTCCAGGCAACGTGCAGACTAAATTTGATGGTTTGGTATTAGTAGAAGCAGTGCTGGGCAGGGTTGTCTCCAAACCTTCGAGAGGGTGGACGTGTAGGACCCGCAGGTCAGCAGTTCTCTCTGTCTTCTTGGCTGTACTCCTGTTGCTGAGCTCGGGTGGCACCGTGCGATGGCACAGGGAGGACTAACGGGGGCAACGCACAAAGGTTTTCCATTGCTTCCGTGGCTGGGCTGCAGGATTTGACGGATTTTGTGTTTAACGTTTCCGTACGGTGAACGAAATCCGCATGGCAGAATGGTTCATCTGGTGGGAGGTGTCTATGGCTGACGAGCTCGTCTGAAGGATTTACAGCGCTGTGCCTAGTTCTGGGTAACAGAAAACAGACAGGAGGACTTCTTAATGGTTCGAGTGTACTAATCCCGTGTTTACTTAACTGCGTTCCAGTTCAGACCTGTAGCCTCTGTGAGTCCGTGTTGCGTTACGATATTCAGCTACTCTGAACAAAGCAGTTTTGTGTTGTCTTCTCGTTTTTAAACTCAAAACTAAGCACACAGAAAATTAAAAAAAAATATACAATAGTCACGTGATAGTTACTCTCAGTGTTGGTTTTCCTTTTTTATTTCTGCAGTTTATCGTGGTAGCTGCATGAAGTAATTCCACATGACGTGCCGAGTGTCCTAGCAGTAGTGAGAGCCTATGAGAAATCACAGCGTGAAAAACGTTGAGAAACTGTCAGTTGGCTGTATTTTCCTTAGATACAGTATTTTTTCATAAAAACTGTTTTTAAATATCTGTGCACAGACGTGGAACCTCGTGCATAGCAGCTCTTTTCGTCCTGGGCTTTACACATCATGAACTCCAGCAAACTTCTAACGGTTTGCCCGTAGAGAAATTCTACAGCAAGGGGAATTCCTTTCTTTTATACCTAGGCTGATGACTTGTTCTGAAAAGGAGTATTTTGGTCTTTTATATGTGCTGATTTAAAAAAAAAAAAAATCAAAATCAGGATAGTAATAATACCTAGTCCTTAAAAAGTAAAAAGTTGTCCTTTAATTATTAGCTAAAATCTAGTAAACTGATCATATAACCTCCAGTGTGTCAGTATTTTAACTGGTGGAAACTTGGCAGTGTGTCCCGTAATGAAGGCTTTTTCCAACCAGACCACTTTTCTTGCCATTATAAACCGATGAATTCATTGCTATCGTGGGTGCAATTTCTGAATAATGCTTTTTCTGAACTGGTACTGCCTAGGAAAGCTTCCTGGTTCAGGAGCTTCATCATCACGATGCCATTTTAGGTGTGTTTTGAAAACGCGTGGCAGAGTCAATGTTGAAATGCGTTGGGCTCTCCATGTTGGTTACCTTGGGCAAAAATCTGCCTGTTCCTCAATTGTAACGGTCTAATTTTCTTACGATGAAACAATTCTCAAACTATGGGTAGGAAAAATTATTTGGAAACCTTTGCTTGATAGAAATGTTTTGGTAAATGAGCATTTAGATCCTTTGAAAGTAGAACCACTTACTTTACTTTCTTGGCTTGGTGGAGAGTAGAAATATTTACTCCTAAAGCTTTTCATAAGAAACAGAATTAATTGTGCTCGTTTTCAGCACTAAGAGCCCAGTAGCCACACTCTGCCTGGGACAAACAGCTCCAATAAAGGATCATAAGAATGTGCCTCCTGCAGCTCAGATTCTTCTCCTTGGTCTATAATGTCAAGGAGAGGTAGGAAAAATGTCAAGCAGAGGTAGGAAAAAGTGGTTTGGATCAAACGAGCTGGATTCAAATACACTCTGGAGCTTTTAAAACGTTCCAGAGGGAAATTGCTATATTCAGTGTTCTGTGGTTTTATCCAGTGTTGGTAGCACTGAAATAACATGGAAGAGATTATTCTCACAGAGTGTTTTTGACTCAGATGGGTTTTTTTTACTTCCTGATTGTATATGAAAATCTGCTCAAGTTTGTGGGGTTTTTTTTGGGAAGCAAAAAGAGGTGATTTTTTCTTTTTAACAACTTTAATTGCCCATTTTGTATGTATTTTGCATTTTTATTGTTGAGTATATGTTTTATGCGATTTCTGTTAGCAGTAAAGCATAATATCTAAAATCTTACATGTGTGATGAAACATGTAGAGGTGTGCGCATAGGAGACAATTCTAAGACTGAGATTTTAGTCTCTGACTGGTGATTCTCTGGACTTTCTGCTGTGTGTTTTGCATTCATTTTTTTGTGGATTACTAAAAAGAAATAATTAAGATGGGCTGGTGGCTGCAGCATGAAAGAAAATCAGTATATCAGATGAAAAAATAGAGGATGTGTGCCTTGAGATAGCAAGAAGCAGCAGGGGTTCACAGGTTCCAGTCACAGTTCTGGGATCAAAAGCAATATTATCACTCCAGGGAAGCCCTCCACTTGCGGTCATTAGCCCTGTAAGAAGGTCAAACTTGGCTCACACAGTTCTTCTGTGCTTGACCGATGCCAGTGAAGCATGCCAAGTTGTGCTCGCGCAACTGGAAGCAAGAATTTGTCTGTTCTCAACACCCAGCCTTAGTAAAATCAGTAGATGCGTTTTCCTGCAAAATGGTTGTGTTTTCCAAAGACGTTCCGAACAGAGAGGAAAGTTCTAGCCCGTGTTTGTTATCAATGGTTACTCACGAACTGTAGTTGACCGGGTACCTCAGAGATCAGAACTAGAGCTAGGTTCCTCCCATCATTAGTGAGGAAGGAGTTACATTATGATTTTTAAGAGATTATGGCCTTGCTTATTAAAATTGAAAGGTGAAATGCGTAGCACATTCTCCACACGTGGAGATTTCGTAGTCTAACATTACCTCATGCATGCCTTTGTGAAGAGGCTGTACATACATCCAAGGTCCAGCTCTGAAAGCCTGGTTTGTGGTTTTTTTTTTTTCCCTTGCACTGCCAAGAAAAGGAGTAGATGATTTTTCGCAGTGTAGTTAGACCAACAAGTAGAAATGAGTGAGCTGGTAATGGCATGATACACGTACAAGGGTGTGTAGTGACAGGACAAGGGGCGATGGATTTAAACTGAAAGAGGGGAGATTTAGATTGGATATAAGAAAGAAATTTTTCACTCTGAGTGTGAGGAGGCACTGGCACAAGTTGCCCAGAGAAGTTGTTGCTGCCCCATCCCTGGAAGTGTTCAAGGCCAGGTTGGATAAGGCTTTGGGCAACCTGGTGTAGTGGAGGGTGTCCCTGCCCATGGCAGGGGGTTGGAACGAGATGATCTTTGAGGTCCCTTCCAACTCAAACCATTCTATGATTGCTGGTAGATCCCTACCATTCTTGCTCTGAACGGAATGTCTGGGAGCTGCCTGTCACATTTCTTTGTGTAATGCTGTGTCCTTCTCTCTCCCTCTCCTTGTTACTTCTCTCTCTGCAGTGCTGCACACCCAAGGTCCCATTGATGGCAGTCTGTACGCGAAAGTGAGGAAGAAGAGCTCCTCAGACAGCAGCATCCCCGGTGTGGCTCAGGGCGCTCCCGTGACGGGCAGCCCTGATCACAGTGACCATACTCTCTCTGTCAGCAGTGATTCGGGACACTCCACAGCTTCCGTCAGGACAGACAAGACTGAGGAGCGCCTCGTGCCAGGAGTCAAACGGGGTCTGAGCCCACAAGAGAAGGCAGAACTGGACCAGCTACTTAGTGGCTTTGGTCTGGAGGATTCTGTCAGCACCACCAAGGATATGACTGATGCTCGAAGCAAGTACAGTGGAACGCGCCACATAGTGCCAGCTCAGGTTCACGTGAATGGGGACACCAAACTGAAGGACAGGGAGACCGATATTCTGGATGATGAAATGCCTAATCATGACCTTCACAGTGTGGACAGCATTGGGACTTTGTCTTCCTCAGAAGGGCAGCACTCCACCCACCTGGGGAATTTCAGCTGCCACAAGAGCAGTCAGAACTCGCTTCTTTCAGATGGCTTTGGAAGTAACACTGGAGAAGAGCATCACAATGCTTTTGCCCCAGACCTGGGAATTGGTGTGGATCCCCTCTATGAGAGATCATTTGGAAGCACAGAGCCGAAGTCAACTCAGCAACTACAACGGAATCCTTCTGTCTCACCCCAGCCCCAAGCCTACGGCCCAAGTAACTACTCTACTCAGACCTGGGTACGCCAGCAGCAGATGGTCACTGCTCACCAGTATGGTTTTGCCCCGGAGAATGAAATGAGGGTTGGCATTCATAACACTATGGAGAATTCCGGCAGTGTCCAGAGCCAGTCCCGAGTCCCGGACACCCCGACACGTGGCTCCAGCAGCAGAGATGCTGTGCAGAGGGGGCTAGGCAGCATGCCTGGTGCTGCTGAAGCTGCAGAACATGCCAGTGCCGAGAGTTTTAAGTCAAGGCCAGTGCCTCAGAGGGACACAAATGGCCTGGATCTAGGACGGAACGCAGGGGACTTGCCAGCATCTCCAACTTTGGATATTGATGAGTCTATTGAACAGCTGAACAGGCTGATCTTGGAGTTAGACCCTACGTATGAACCTGCCCCGACCCGCATTAACACTGTCACCAGGGACAGAAATCAAGTCAATGGCTTCAGCAGCCTTGATGCAGACGTAGAAGGGCTCGGCCGGAGTCTCGGCTTCCATGACAAGTTGGAGGTCACAAGCAGGAATCCCTCCCAGCATGGTAAGCTGTTGTGATGCTTTCTGAACGTAACGCTTTTCCTTGCGCTCGCGCCTTCTCGGTACGGGAACAGCAGGACCTCAGGTCATGACTTAACAGCTTTCAGGATGATTATCAAGGGATTGTTTCTGATACGTAACCATTCAAGAAATTATGGAATCAAACTGATATAAGATAAGTGAGTTTTGCAGATACTTGTTTTTTGCTTGAAAAAAGTACCGTTCAGCAAATTCTTACCAGTTGGGATTTTTTGCTGCTGTAAGTTTAAGCAATAAGGGAGCAGAATTCCTATAATTCTTACTTTGAGATATTTTTAGAAGGCATGTGTAGTGAAATGGTTTATGATTTATGTTTATATGCTTTTTATTATTACACTTAAAGTAGAAGAAAAAGCTCTGGCAATTTTCTCTTCAAATTTAGTGTAATGCTGCTGGCATTAAATTTCTACGCAGTATTTGCATAAACAGTGTCATCTTTGCCAGTAAAGTATTTTAAAACATCCTTTTTCTGAAACTTCTTCTGCTTAAAAATTCAGAAGTCACAGTACTTGCTTGTTATCTCTGGCTCTGATGGGAATGCAGAAATCAGCTGGTGGAATTAAATGTGTAAATATTGCCAAAGTAATGCTACTAGAACTGGGAGCTCTGCAAAGGGATGGGTAGTCTGTCTCTGCTGAAGTCCTCTGAAACCTTTCATTAATGCTGTAGCTAAAATTTGTGACTAAAAAATGCTCTTAATGGTCTTGCTGTCATGTTTGAGAGTTCCATGTGATCCAGTTCCTCTGCCAGAACATATCCCCTTCCCTTCCTTCCCTCCTTTCCTTCCCTTCCCCCTTCCTCTTCTCCCTCTACCCACCTCCAGTCTTGGTGCAATGAAAGACTTGCTTGTGTCTCCAGGATTTGATTCAGTAGCCACCAGCATGCCAGAACACAAGTCCGTGGCCACGCTGGGCACAAGTGAGCTGCACCAGCTCAAGTCTGGTTGGCTGTGCCAAACCGTTTGATGGTGACTGTGCCCAACTAGCATGTGGTTTGCGTTCACGTGCAGGCCTGTGTGCTCAGGGATGGGGATTCCTGTAGAGAAGGTGAAGTCACAGGGATGTGTTCAGGAGGATGTGCTGAGTTGATGTGGTAGGGTTTTGGTAGCAGGGGAGGGGCTGCAGAGATAGCCCCTGTAAGGAGATGTGAGAAGCTTCCCGAGCTCCACAGCTGGGCAAACCGGGCTCTGGGCAGGTCAGACCTCCCCTCTGGCCAGTGCTGAGCCATCAGTGCCTCTGCCAATGCCCTGTTCAAGAAGGGGATGAATGAGCCTGAACTGAGCTGGACCTCGTGTGGCTCCTGCCATGCAACTGGAGATGGCCGTGGCAGCCGAGGTTTGTCAGGCCCAGCGCGACTGCGGCAGAGACAGGGCTGAGACCTGAGAGAAGCAGCTACGCAGACACCAGGTCAGTGAAGGTGGAGCGAGAGGAGGTGCCGGAGCTGGGATTCCCCTGCAGCCCGTGGACATTAATGGTGGAACAGAGACCCACCTGCAGCCCATGTAGAACCTCACGCTGGAGCAGAGACGCCTGTGCCTGAAGGAGTTCATGGAGGACTCCATGCTGTTGGAGATTGATGGTGGAGCAGAGATGCATCTGCAGTCCATGAGAAGGGACTCCACGCCGGAGCGGGTGGCTGCATCCTAAGAAGCTGTGGTTCCATGGGGAAAGCCCGCACTGGAGCAATCCGATGGGTAAGGATTGCATCCTGTGGGAAGGACTCTCGTTGGAGAAGTTCATGGAGGACTGACTTCGATGAGGAGAGGCTCCAGATTGGAGTAGGAAAAGAGTGTGAGGAGCCCTCCCTCTTAAAGAAGGAGCAGCAGAAACAGCTTGTGATGAACTGACCTGCAACACCCATTCCCCATCCCTCTGTGCCACTGGGGAGGAGGCAGCGCTGGGGAGAAGGAGCGGGAGAGAGGTGTTGTTTTTGCAGTCCGCCTTTGTTCCCAGTACCCTCCCAAGCAGCTGTTCATGATTCGATCTGCAGTGAGTCCAGAAATCCATGATGGATGTATGTGAGCTGCTTCATCGTTCGCCTGGTTTTAACACACCATATGTGTTTTATGGCTCTTACAGGATTAAATTCATTAGTTTGTAGTTCCGTTGAATCTTTCCAAATGAGGAGCTGATGGACAAGTTGAAAATGAGATTTTTCCACCAGGAGAGAGCTCTTTTGTATACAGTAAAGCTAGAGAAGGAGTTAAGAGGGTCATTTAGAATAAGTCACCTTTTACAATTCTGTATTTAGAGATAGGAATCTGAAGAGAGGTGTTTGGATTTTTCTCAGATTCTGGTTGTCTCGCAAAGGAAGTAGGAGTCACTGTCAACCCCCTTCCATTTGCAAAGTCAGATAAAGCAGGTAAACTTCCTGCGTAATAAAGACTGGTGGGAATACGAGTCCTTGGGGCACGTTCTGGAAGTGGACCTGTTTTAAAGATAGTGATGAATTAGGAACTAAATATGAATATATATATATATGAAGCTCCTTTGCTTTCTGTCATGCCGTTGTCTTTGGCAAGGCGTTTCTCTCGCCTCCGTCAGTCTGAGCAAGGGAAAAGAGGGGTTAATGCTTTTTCCATTTGTTTTTTTAAACCTGTCTCTCAGAAACATTGGACATGCTTGCAGGATGTTTACATCATACTGAGCTTCAAACATAACCTTATGCATACTGATTCCTAATCTACTTCCAGTTCCCATCAATAGAAGACCTCTGATGGATGTCATTGGATATAGAGTTTGGATGTGTGAAAGCGAGGTGGTGAGCACGGTTTGCATGCTGAGAGTGGTGTGCAAGTGCTGATTGCCATCATCAGCAGCTGTGTTTCTGACATTGAATTTTTTCCCCATACCCTCTATCTCTGCTCCAAAGCAAAACCCATATTCCTACTGAAATCACAGAGTGGTTGAGGTTGCAAAGGACCTCTGGAGACCATCTGGTCCAGCCCCCCTGCTCAGGCAGGGCCACCTAGAGTCACTTGCCCAGAACCATGTTCAGATGGTTTTTGATTATCTCCTGTTTGCAGCCATCTCTCTGGGCAACCTGTGACAGTGCTCAGTCACCCTCGCAGCAAAAAAGTGGTTTTCATAATGTTCAGAGGGGACCTTCTGTGTTTCAGAAGGAGCGGCTGAGGGAGCTGGGACTGGTCAGTCTGGAGAAGAGGAGGCTCAAGGGGGACCTTATCGCTCTCTACAATCACCTGGAAGGAAGTTGTAGGGAGATGGGGGTCAGTCTCTTCTCCCACGTTATGAATGACAGGACGAGAGGGAATGGTCTGAAGTTACACCAGGGGAAATTTAGGTTAGATATCAGGAAAAATTTCTTTACAGAGAAGGGTTGTGAAGTATTGGAACAGGCTGCCCAGAGAGGTGGTGCAGTCCCCATCCCTGGAGATGTTTAAAAACCGTGTGGATTTGGTGTTGAGCAACATGGTTTGGGGAACCTGACAGTGCAGGGTGAATGGTTGGACTCGATGATCTTGAAGGTCTCTTCCAACCAGACGATTCTATGATTCTATGATTCAGTTTGTGCCCATCTCCTCTGGGTCCCATCACTAGACACCGTGGAAGTAAGCCTGCCTCCCTCTTCTTTGCACCCTCCCTTCAGGTATTCATATCTCTCAATGAGATTCCCAACACGTTTTCGTTTCATCAAGAACTTGCAGGAGTGCCTTCCAGTATTTTGTGGACAGTTCTGCACTCTACCAAATGATGAACACTTCTGCTTGACGTTTTATTTCGGCGAACTTGGCATACCTTGCCTGGCAAAAAGGCTCATTATTTAAGGGACAGTCAGGGAGTGAAGCAACTGGTGTTTAGATCTTTAAGTCTTTTTGGTTTAAAGTTTTGTTTGAAGGAGGTACTTACTCCACTCACACTTCTACTGTCCTGAAGTCAGATTCTCTTGAAGTTCTCACAAAGCCTTTCACTGACATTAGAGACTTAAGGAGGAAGGTGCCAAGTGAAGGGTTCCCCTTGCATTTTAAGACCCAAAATAAATGAACGAACTGTAGCTAGAGTTTAAGCACTGCAGAGAGCCTAAAGTGTGTGGAATCCAGGATACGGGAATGCAAGACTGGAGGCTTGTGTTGGCTTACGTCATCGAGATTTATGGCCCTCATTCTAGTTGTATTTCTAGTGACAGGATATTTATGTTTAAGCAAATTTCCTTCGGAAGCTTAACCCTTAGAGTACAGGGCTTTGTGCTGCCAGTGTTGTTTATGTTGGTTAGCATCTTCTAGCCTTAGAAGTCTCTTTGAAACAGGGTGCTAGCATAAAACTGTGTTGGATGTTCTCAGCTGGAATCTATTTGTGGCGGTCCTTGTTATAGTTCATTTCATCAAAGGCAGAAAAACTGAACGGGTGCTTTTCCTTTCCTCCAGCTCCTAATTTGGTGGGGTGTGGGGAGGCATCATTAGTTTACATTTCTGGGGGTGTAAACTAAAGCACCATCATTTTCAACAACTGCTGCTTCAGAGGATGGCATCTTCTGGTAGAAGAAGCAGAGAGTAGGAATAGTAAGGATTTAAATACTGTAATTTAGTCAGGGTCTTTAGGCAGCTGGATGTATTTGAGTGCCCTAAAGTTTAAAGACCTCTGCTTGTGGTTCATGTAGGTGGTGTCTCGAGGAGTTGCCCTTGCATAACGATCGTGTGCTCTTGAGTGGCAAGCAGCAATTTTAGATGCATGTTGAGTCCCCTTGCCTGCCCTTCGAACCCTTTGAGTATATTCACTGTGATTAACATGGCAGTTTTATTTTGTGTCTAATGCATCTGAAATCCTGCAGACTGTTCCCAAGAGAGGTGGCCTTAGGTTGTCTCCATGATCCTTGGACATGCGTTACTCTATTCATCTCTGCATCGGATCTGGTAACTCTGCAGTGGTGGCGTTTGTTGGGTTAGCTTGTTAATTTAATGGTTTGAAGGTATTCTTATGGGTTAGTTCTCTGTCAGATGCGAGTTGAACT